GTGTGGCCCACTCATTGGCTGTTTATTGAAAGGGGTTTGGCTCTTTCAGGTCTACCTAATGCCCTAGTTCTTTATGTCCCACTTCATATAGCCTCTTCCTCATTGTCAACGTTATTACACTGTCATGCTAACATTTTGATTACAAAACGATTGCCTCACTACTGGTACATTTCGTTATTGCTGTTTCTTAATCATAAAGTCTAGATATACTTATTCCAAATTACCCAAAAAACATATCTACTTGTACATAAACTTTGGGGCATAACAAACCACAATGTCTAGTACGTCACCATTTCCCGCAGGGGAATAATGAGTGGGGCACTGTGGCCCTGAGATTTCGAAATCACTCTTATCAAATAAATCAACGAGTTTCAAGCCTGAGGGGTTTGAAACTCTACTATTCCAAAGTGGGTGATTAGCATTCAGATCACCTGCCAAAATATCTTACGCCTAAAGCTTAAGAGCTCAGTGATATCAGTATCACTCCAGGGTCTGCCTGGAGATTTAAGAGCAGCTTCAAGCAGTGCTTCACTATTGCCAATTGGTATGCAGACCCCTGTCACTTCTACTGAAACGGGTGGTAGATATACATGGTTATGAGGAATGCCTTTTCTAACTGCAACGGCATTTCCGCCGAGAGGCTGACCGTATACATGAGTAGCCTGAACTGACTGACCTGTTTCTTTCTGCGGTGCAGGGGCCGGTACAGTCTGCTCCTTTTGGGGCTGGAGCCACCGGAACATGGCTTTCCTGTGGGCGCTGTTGCTGCTCTGCTCTACTGCCTTGGAGTGCCACCGCGAAGGAGACACCTGGAGTGACGATTGCTGAAGAGAACACCCTCCCCGTAGTTTTGGACGTTCTCTGAACCTTCCTTCTCTGTTGCTCTTCTTTGGCATGTTTGCAACCCCGATAATTGGTGGGATGTTGCTTTTCTCCCTCCTCCAGTCAGCATTTGCAGCATACTGTGGTGGAGGCAGAGTTATCATTTTCCGGGCACTCCTTTTGTAAGTGGCCACCTCCGCAACACAAACAACGTGGGGACTGTTTGCAGTTAGCCCAAACGTGGCCTAACTGTTGACAGTTATAACACTGTGTTAGACCGTTTTGCGCTTTGTAGGCCTCTACCCTGATGGAAATGTGACAGAGGTTGGTTGACCGGAAGAGCTCTTGGGACTTTTCGGTTCTTGGTAGAGTCACTAGGATCAGAGGAAGGTTGATGTCCGGCGACTAGTTGTCATTTCCTTGACGTTAATAACGTCGAAACATAGACTCACCAGACCGTCAGATATATCCTCCGCTGGAGTATTTTGCGGGAGGTGACGGATGACAGCTTTATTGGGTCTTTCGTATTTTGGGTAGAAGTAAAAGTAGGCAAGATTTTTGCCCTCCAGAAATTTCTTAATGGCTGAAAAGTCCGCCATTTCTTATGTGACAATTCTGGTCCCACTTCTGGTGTTGCGGAACTCAAAACTGCCATTAACAATGCCTTTGATATTCCTCTGCAACTGTATCAGGTTATTTGCAGAGGTTAGGACAATCGGAGGAGGCCTACCTGACCTGCTGCAGGATGATTGCTGCTCTTCCTTCTCGGTTGTCTCCTCCACGACGTCCATTCCCGTTGTCCTGAGGAGCGCAAAAATATTCCTTTTTGGTACTTTAACCTGGGATTTTATCCTGGGGTCCCCCGGTTTGGGTGACGGCTTTGGCTTTTTATTCTGATCCTCTGAGGGGTTTCGTTTGCGCCTTCTTTCCTCGCGAAACTCCTCGGCAGATTCCTCTTTTAGCTCCAGGAGCGACTCTCGCATCTCACTGTGGATGGATGCATGCATACAGGCGCAACATGGCTGTGAAGGGGGCCTTACTATTGAGGTGCTTACAGAGCACTATCCTTTCTGCCTCGGATTTCGCTAAGAGCCTATTCCATATTCCGCCGTTTCCATTTATGGAGGGCGATGTGTGGATAAGCTGCCCTATTCTTTGTAGGCCTTTCCCAAGTAATTCTACCTCTTCCTGGCAGTCAGGGATGTTAGTTTTCAGGTTTTCATGGTTCCTCTCAAAGGAATCCACGATCAATGATATGAACTCCGTCACAAGTTCAAACAATATATTATATGTCCTTGATCATACTCTCCTTTACACTACATGTTTCGGCCTCAAACGGCCATCATCAGGTGTATATACTCACGTTGCTGTTACACTGCACTTAGTATAAAATTTAACATTTAAAAAAAATTTAAATTTTAAGATTTAGAGAAAAATTTTAAAGGATTTTAGAATTAGAACTAAATATTTTATAGTGCTACTAAAGGAAAATCAAAATTAACGTCTGTAAAATAATCTGTAAACCAGACAGTTATCAACGAAGTAGATGTTGATAATAACAAGGAAAGAAAAATATGTTTTTTAATGTTAAATTTTAAACTAAATGCAGGGTAACAGCAACGTGAGAGTGTACACCTGATAATGGCTGTTTGAGGCCGAAACATGTAGTATAAAGGAGAGCAAGATCAAGGAAATATAATATATTGTTTGTACTTGGGACGGAGTTCATATCATTTATCATGTAGAGTGCAACAGGATACTTAAATATAATATTGAACCACGCTCGCTTTCCACCGCGTTTCGGCCAAGGTCAGTTCCGTCATATCGCCTGCAGGCAGGACGGCCCCTACTGCTGATGCACCACCATCATTACACACTGTATAAACACACACACACACTCCAACTCTATGATCACTCTAGAGAGCTCAAAATTCCTTCGGTAAGCGAGTAATCAATTCCACAGCGCCTGAATCCAAGACTACGAACCAAATCTCAGTCTCTCTCCGAATAACCTAAGAACTTGATGAATCAACGTAACTCCTCCAGTAGTCAGTCGTTCAGTCAGTCTCTTGCTCAGTGACCGGCCAGTTAGGCAGCTATGGCAAAGTTAGAGTCAAAGTCATGTTACAACTGACGGTCAATCAGGCTGTCTGTCTTGGTGTCGAGCCCCATCTGGGGCCCATGACCAGATATTTCTTTTGAATGAAAGTTACTGTCTTGTCTATGTGGGGTGCCCTCTCTGACGAGAGGTCGGATCTATCATTTGTCAGTCAGTCTGTTTTAATAAGTCCACTGTCTGTATTTACGTATATTTACATATACAAACTTATTCCTTACTCCAATGTACAAGATACACAAGGCCTCTGTTAGTCCAGGCTAGATACAGCAGATTATGCCCTTTTTTCTCCTTGTATTATTAGCTACCACGGCAGTGTAGTCACTTGAACGGTCGTATGCCTGAACGCCTCCAAGTTTAAGCCTATTATACTTTCTGTGGCTGGCTTCACCTTGTCCAATGTTGCGAACATTCTCATTATCATGATTTTGTATGACTTCTGCTTGTTGCCTGCATAATTTTGTTATGTAATCATATATGTATGGAATTTTGAATGCCATGTGCAATTCGAGGAAAATTGCCAATGGTGCGGAGAACCTTGTTTTGCAGGCACTGCAATTTAACTAGATGGGTGTCTGCCACAAACTCGCAGGCGGGACTAGCATGAGTCATTACGGATCTAATAAGGGCTTTATGGAGAGTCAATTTAATGTTAGCACTAAATCGCTCACTTTTGAATAGGGAATATACTCCAATGAATGTTCTGAAGGCCTTGACTTCGATCATTTCTATGTGTAATCTCCAAGTCACTCTCTTATCGAAAATTACACCTAGATATTTTGCACTATTTACAAATGGAATATTTCTTCCATTGAGTAAGAAAAGACTCAGGCGGTCGACGGCCACGAGAGAAGTAGACCCCAGAGTCTTATCTTCATTAAATTTTATATTCCAGCGCTCACACCAGAGTCTCCATTCAGCTGAGACCGCGCTGGAGTTTTCTAACAATAAAACTCTAGTTGCGATCTGTCGCATATAGACAGGTGTTGTCCGCAAAGAGGGCCAGGTGAACACCATGAGTTTGGGGGGGGCATCATTTATGTACAAGTTGAAAAGAGTAGGGGAAAGGACAGAACCTTGTGGCACCCCTGCTTGCATTTTTCCCTTGGTGTTGACATTTCGCCTTCAACCGAGACTCTGAATTTACGTTTAGAAAGAAAGGACGCAATAAGTTTGTCAAAGAGTTACAGAATTCCAATTTTGATAACTTATACAGCAATCCTGAGTGCCACGTGGTATCAAAGACTCTTTCGATGTCCAAGAACACTGCAGCCGTAGACATTTTATTGTTGAAAGTAAGGGTCACGTTGTCAGCCAGCCTCATACATTGCAATGTAGTGCTTGTGACATGCACCAAAACAAAACTGTCTTTCGTTGAGCAGGCCTCTTTCTTCAATAAGTTTACGGAGAAATTTCAAAATTACTTTTTCGAATGGTTTTCCTGTCGTGGACAGGAGGCTGACCGGACGTAAATTTTGAGGAAATTTCGGGTGCCAGACATGGCGGGCGCCTTGGTGCCTGGCTACCATGCATTCTTGGCAGAAAGAACAGCCTCGCTACAGGCAGAATACAAGAAGAATATAAAACAATATCCTGAAGCAGATGAACATTACAGGAGACTGTTTAATATCATTTGCGATATTGAGTATGTGGCCAGCTTCACACCAGCTACAATTGGGGAAAGTGTCGAGTGGGTGGCAATAGTCAATGCTGCTGAAGAAAACAGTGAGAGCTATTGCAAGGTTCTCACGGGCAAGATTTTGTTCAGTGCTCTGTATGGGACCTATAGAGTTACACTGAACGATCTGAAGTCCCTAGTGAAAGCCAGAACTTCGGAGACAACGAAAAAGCCTCCTACGAAACACTCCCAAGAAGAAGACTTCAAAGAAGTCCGAAGGCGAAAACGGCAAAGCACAACCGAGTCCGCCCAGACTTGAAAGAAGGCAGCGGCTGCCGCAGGAAACAGCCAGACTAAAGAGAAGTGCACCCGAAACTACTTTGCACCTCTCAGGGGGACATCAATGAACACAGACATTGCTCAGGTAAAGCATGCAGNCCCCAATAATTCTAACGTCCACAGTCAACCTCATTCAGTTGCAAAAGCAACTAAAAATTTTGTCAAAGATGACTTTGAGTTCCGTAATACCAACTACGGGACCAGAGTCATCACTAAAACCATGGCGGATTTCGAAGCCGTCAAGAATCATCTACCCCAAAATAAACCTTCCTATTATTCTTTCTTTCCAAAGTCAGAAAAACCCATTAAGGCTGTAATCCGTCACCTCCCCCCAATACCCCGGCGGAGGATATTTCTGATGGATTGGTGACCATGGGATTTGATGTGGTTAGCGTCAAACAATTGACAACCACCCGAGGGTCTCCTTCAGAAGAAAGGATAAACAGAAACCTTCCTCTCTCCATTATCATCCTTACCAGGACGGGAAAATCAAAGGAAATCTTCAGACTACAAAGCCTTTGCCACATTTCCATCCGGGTTGAGACATATAGAGCACAGAGTGGCCTTACGCATTGTCACATCTGCCAACAATTTGGACACGTCTGAGCTAATTGTAAGCAACCTCCCCGTTGCATGTGGTGCGGGGGTGGCCACCTGCACAGAGAGTGCCCCGAGAAACAGAACGCTGCCTCCACTCCAGCGTGCTGCAATTGCGAATTGAAGGAGGAGGGAAGCCCCATCCCGCCAACTTTTGGGGCTGCAGACACGCGAGGTAGGAACTGCAGAGGAGGAAATCGCAGAGAGCACCCAAAACTACGACGGGAAGGGTGTTCTCCTCGAATATCGTTACTCCTGGAGTCTCCTTCGCGGCAGCGCTCCGTGGCAGCACATCATAGGAGCAACGACCTCAGACTCTCCAAGTTCCAGTGGCAGTCCCACCAGAAGCCACGAAACAGAGCGTCCCAGTCCTTGTACAGGAACAAAAAAACAGGTCAGTCAACTCAGGCTACTCATGTAAACAGTTCATCTCTCGACAATATGTTCAGAGTAGTGACTGTAGTACAGCAGATTATGACAGAGGTCAGTGGTGCAGTGTCCGAGGAAGAAAAAATGAATGGCCATTACCAAAATTGTTCTAAACATAGTGAAACAAAATAGCCACTAGAGTTCATAGGCCCCTCAAAATCATAGCATTTAATGCGAACGGCATTGGGAGGCAGCGCTATGAGCTCAGCAAACAGCTGCAAGACCTACACATAGATGTGGCCCTGTTTTCAGACACATCTGAAACATCATGAGAGGTCCTTTATTCCAAATTACCACTTTTATAGAATCGACCGCCACTCGGGCAGAAAAGGCGGAACTGGCGTTGCAGTAAGAAAAGGCATTCCCCATAACCATGTAGACCTACCACCCCTTGTTTCAGTAGAAGCGACAGGGGTCTGCATACCAATTGTTAATAGCGAAGTGCTGCTTGCAGCTGTTTATAAATCTCCAGCCAAAGCCTGGCGAGATGCTGACATCACTGAGCTGTTAAGCTTAAGATGAAAGTCTATTTTGGCAGGTGATTTGAATGCTAAGCACCCATTTTTGAATAGCAGAGATTCAAACCCCTCAGGCTTGAAACTAATGAATTTATTTGATATGAGTGAATTTGAAATTTCAGCACAAGAGTGCCCCACTCATTATTCTCCTTTGGGAAATGGTGACGTGGTGGACTGGGCTTGTGGATCACCAAAATATCAGAGTGTCAGATGTCATTGTCTCTGGACTCTGATCACCTACCAATAGTATTCCACATAGTGGATCACGTTAAAATTAGGAATCTTTCGGAACGCATTGAAAAATTTACAGATTGGGAACGGTTTCAAAGCCTCGCTTCTGAATTAATATCACCTAAACTAGAAATTAATTCGGGGATAGAAACCGATAAAGCGGCATGCGACTTTGCAGCCTCTATTGCTTCGGCGTATAGGGTATCGACAAGTAAAGTTACGCTTTCGGACATAAACAACGATCTTCCTGGTCTAGATCATTTGATAAAATATAAACAGAGGCTACGAAAACTGTGGCAAGAAACCAGGGATCCAGCATGTAAAATGGCAGTCAGTTGGGACTCCAAATCAATCAGTCAAATGACCCGTAAAAGGCACTTGAACGGTGTGAAACAAAAATATGTGATGCTGAAGTCACACCTCAGATTATATGGCCCTTGCGAAATCTCTCCTTCAGAGAGACGGACCAAGGACGCCGACTGCTATTTATGGGTCTTCTGGCCTAAATTTTCATCCTTCTGAAAAAGCCAACGAATTTGCCGACTGTTTGGAAATTCAGTTCATGCCACATGACGTGTGCGACGAAAACCATGAAGAGCGGGTGGAAGCTAGAGTTCAAGCTCTGCTGGAAGCCGTGGATTTAAGCCCATCTCTAAGGATCAGACAATGTGACATTCAAGAGTTAATAAATTCTCTGAAATTAAAAAAGGACTGTGGAATTGACGGCATTCCAAATGAATGCCTCAGGCACCTTCCAAGGAGACCATTGGTTCACCTAACTCACTTATTCAATCACTGTTTTCGGCTCTCTCACTTTCCAAATACTTGGAAGGAAGCAAAAATAATATCTTTACCAAAACCGGGTATAGACCCGAAATTTCCTCAAAATTTACCTCCGATCAGCCTCCTGTCCAGGACAGGAAAACTATTCGAAAAAGTAATTTTGAAATTCCTCCGTAAACATATTGAAGAAAGGGGCTTGCTCAGCGCAAGTCAGTTTGGTTTTCGTGCATGTCACAACACGACATTGCAATGTATGAGCCTGGCGGACCACGTGACCCTTAATTTCAACAATAACATGTCTAAGGCTGCAGTGTTCTTGGATATCGAAAAAGCCTTTGATACCACGTGGCACTCATGCTTGCTGTATATGTTATCAAATTTGGAATTCTCGAAGATGTTGACCAAACTTATTGGGTCCTTTCTTTCTAAACATAAATTCAGGGTCTCGGTTGAAGGCGAAATGCAACGCCAAGGAAAATGCAAGCAGGGGTGCCACAAGGTTCTGTTCTTTCCCCACACTTTTCAACTTGTACATAAATGATTTCCCCCAAACTCATGGTGTTCACCTGGCCCATTTTGCGGACGACCCCTGTCTGTATGCAACAGATCGCAAAAAGAGTTTTACTGTTAGAAAACTGCAGCGCGGTCTCAGCTCATTGGAGCCCTGGTCTGAACGCTGGAATATAAAAATTAGAAGAAGATAAGACTCTGGGGTCTACTTCTCTCGTGGTCGAGACTACACGGAGTAAGTACAAATAACATTATAAACACATAAGAAAACATTACTTACATAATTAGTAATACGAATATTTGTATATTACAGGTAACACCTTCACTGTGCTAGAAACAAGAAGAAGCCGCTGCAGCACTATAAACATAGCGCGAGTAACCCTGACATTTTTAAATTTTGTAATTTAGAGAAAAATTTTTTAAAGGATTTAAAATTAGAACCGAAGATTTTATAAGTGCTAATCAGGAAGACCTATGTTTTTAAATTTTAAATGCTATAAATTAGTGCAGTGTAACAGATCCGTCAGTGTGTACACCTGATGATGGCCGTTTGGGGCCGAAACATGTAGTGTATGAAGAAAAAGAAGACGAAAAACCTATAAATATAGTTTGCACTTAGGAAGGAGTTATATCATATATCGTATAAAGTGCAACAAGATGCTTAAATATAATATTGTTAAAGTAAAGCTGAGTGGCCGAACGACACCGTATGGTGACTCGCAGTCCACGCTTGCGCACAGTGTCTTGAAATCTAATTTTAAGATAGAAATTCTTGTTCTACTTACATTACATTTGGATACCAGCTTTATAAGTAGACTGTCTTCCCTCCTGCGTCATCTAACTGAATGTTGCCTTCATGTGGAACTGTTGGAAACATCCGGAAATGCAGAGTCCAACGTCGTACTTCACGCATTTTGTCCGGGCGTAACTTCGTTTCCTACGCGAAGAGCACACACATCTCAATCTCGAAGTAGAGGAAGTCGGACAGTGATGTCGAGAGGTCTCCTCTAATCGAGATATCGCCGATGACACAGCAGGAGGTCGACCCATGGACTGCTGAGGGCGAGGTCGACCCCTTGCAGCATGTACCAGCATGTTGCGCACAAGGGCGAGACGAAATTCTCTGTGTGACAATTTCGCGCCACAGGATGACAACAGGATGTAGCTGTTCAGAATCGTCATATACAGGAAATGGAAAAATAATTTGTCCATTTCCAGGTCCGACGACTGATGCTATAACTGTTTGCCATTCTGTCCTCTTTATCGACATAACCCATGTGCGTGTTGTAGTCGGCAACAATTGCTGGCTTAATGGCATTTCCAAGCTCATCACAGAAACTGCCATCTGCTGGAGGACAGTGCATGTTTGTCAGTATGTAAACATCACGTTTGTCCTTCCAAACTAATGCTGTCAAGTTCTGTCTCACCCTAACACGAATGTCACCTTTCTTCATTCGAAATTGTCTTCGTCGAAAATCGTCAGGCAAACCCTTCCGACTAGGTCTGACTGTCCCACAGCACGTTATGTCCTTTGTCATCAGTTCCTCAAACATGTCTGGTGACGAAAAGAAATTGTCCATGTACAGTTTGTGACCTACGCCCTCAATACATCTGCATAGGTCCCTAACTGTAGCATGTGTCGCTGTCACGTCTTGGTCGGCCCGTGTCCTGTCTTTTCCTAGATAAACCTTCATGTCATAAGTATACCCAGCGGCGTCACAAATTTTGAAGATTTTGATTCCGGAACGTTTGTGTTTCTTAGGAATGTACTNCCGTCTTCAAGAAAGCAGTCTTCTGGTATTTGGCACCGTGTATATGTGGTGTTAACCGACGTTCCTCCGAAACGTCGGTTAACACCACATTTACACGGTGTCAAATCCCAGAAGACTGCTTTCTTCATAGTCACCGCCGTGAAAGCCTCAAATCTTACATACGTCCATCTTCAAGTTTGTCTAGGTACTGGTGGTAGTACCTATTCATCTCTTCCACCAGCAGACGGATAATCCCTGCGAAGTATAGCATGAAAACGCAGAAAGTGGTGGGATCCTTATTTACATGTGGAGCTTCATTGATATTTAACCCCACAGCTCCACCGGAATAGTTATTCACATGCCTCCTGCCATGCTGGTGTGGTGGTCCCCAGGTTGCCGACGAAGATGATGCGTCTTCATCGGCTTCAATTTCTGAATCTCTTTCTTCCTCGCCGCTCTCTGAGGTTTCTGTGGCACAGTCTGAATCGGTGTCATTTAGCAGCTGGTTCTCAATTTCATCTTCTTCCAAGCGAAACGAGGCCACGGTGAATGTTCTTTTCACTTCACAACGCACTAGCTTGGAAGTTCTGGCAGTACTGTTTATACAGTTCGTAAAACAGTTATCGCTTGTGGCTCCTCTCAGATATAAACAGTCTTAGAGTGTCAAGGACAGAATACGATAGCTTCATAGCTTGTCCACACTTGTGTATACAAAGAGGGTCCAGTACTTGGAATGTGTTCTATAAACAGAAGCTTGGAACCCACTTGCAGATAAGATGGTACGAGAGTATGAATGATGTCAGCAGCAGGCATTTGTACAGCAGAAACCTTTTATACAGAAACTGTATTCATATTTGTGGACACGCTCGAAATTGGATATTTTTTTTTTTTTGGAATCAGTGTAGCCGTATTGACGGTATTGACATTACACGAAAAGAACCCCCGGGGAAATCATGACACCCTATACTGAAGTAACAAAAAAATCTGTTCCGAATTTGTAATTTTCGTGAGAATGGCGACAGATATTTTTTTATTTTGAGAAAAAAATATAAATACAAAAAGGCCTAGAAAATGCCCATCCAGCCTAGGGACAGATGACAAACAGGTTTGTTGGCAGATCCCTCTGCTGCGCAGAATTAGTACCACATGTGCTACATGTACACCAGCCTGTTCAGTGCAGTCGGCTGTGATGGCTGTGATTTATCTTATAGTAGCAGAGCGTGGTTCGATCCACGGACCTCTGTTGCTTTCCTATTCCACGACCTAGCGGCTTGTTTTAGTCCGTGAACAGATTTTTTAACTTGCAAACTTTATTAGACTCCCCTTTAATATCATATCCTTCAGGCAGCTCCATATATATAACTTCCTCAATATCTCCGTTTAAAAATGCAGTACAGACATCAAGGTGGTCAGTGTTCCAATCATGCTTAGTAGCTAAAGCAAATAACAAACGCATTGATGAGTGTTTCTCTACAGGAGCAAAAGTTTCAAAATAGTCTACAACCTTTCACCACTAAATGTGCTCTGTGACATGCAATGATTCCTTCTTAATTTTGAATACCCATTTTGGCTTCACTACTCGCTTATTTGACGGTCTGTCTTCTATTGTCCATGTTTTATTCGAAAAGCTTCTAACTCCTGTTGAAAAGCTTCTTTCCATTTAGATTTATCGGATCTAGACAGTGCCTCTTCATATGTCACTGGTTCTGACTCCTCATCTTTATGCATGGCTAAGTAGGTAATAAATTCTGGAAATTCTTTCTGTTTCCTGTTCCGAAGTGGATATCGTCTTTCTTCCAAATATCCTGGTAATTATTCTAAGCTGTTTGTCGCTGATGGAACTTCATTTCTTTCATTTTCTACTTGTGTTTGTTCTTCTTTGGGGTTTTGTTCTTGCGGAATCATTGTTTCATCTTGTGGGTCGAAGTAGAAACTTGACAACTCTGGAACAATCTCTTTAAGCTGAAATCCATTCTCACTCTCTTTCTTGTTTATAATTTCTTATTCCAGAAATTCTACATCTCTTGCTTCAACTATTTGAGACAGATTGAGGGGATCTGATAAGCGATAAGCTTTAGTATCCTCACCATATCACACAAAAATACATTTCTTGCTCACTGCATCAAATGTTTGTGTTTCTCTTATGGTACATGAGCATACGCTGGACATCCGAATATTTTTATGTGAGACATCAATCTTTTCTCCTGTCCATATTTCTTCAGGCCATTGGTTCTTTAGTTTCTTATGAGGTTATCTGTTCAAAAGATACACAGCTGTTTGTGCTGCTTCAGTCCAGAATCTTCTGTTGCACCTGGAATCATATAACATACATCTTCACAAAGTCAATAGAAAGTCCGTCGAGTGTAACAATGTTTTTAGGTCACTTCTTTATCACATTTGCCTTACATGTTTCGGTTTAATAAAACCATCATCAGAGGCACATATTACAAACACATGAAAACACTGGCGTTGTTTAAATGTACACAGTATATATGCTGCGTGGACGCTGCTACAAATGTCGATGTGTAAAAGCACAACACTTGCTAGGAATATTGAATGCACGTTCAAATCTCGCATTCCATCCGAAATTGCCCTCAAATTAAACCGTCAATGTTAAAATATTTAAAGGTTTAAAACAATTGAGTAAAATGTTAGGCTCCTCCTTGTTAATTCATCCCGATGATGGGAGATGTCAGCTTGAGGTTGTATAGGCTGCAAAGATATTGTATTACATTAGGTTTTATATATTATTATATATTTAATTTATTTTTGTTTAGTGTTGTATTTGATCCTTGCTTACCTTATGGTCAGATGTTTCCTATGCGTTGTGTGTTGTGTACTGCAGTGGGAGCTCTACGTCAGTGTTATTTAAAGCCTTGTGTGTTATAACGTGGTCGGGGGTGTGTTTATACAAGTAGTAATGAGGTCGAATATGCTGTTCTGGTTATTGATCTCTTTTGCCTGTTTCTGCTCATCTATTAATTTGTTATCCTTATAGTGGCGGTAAATTTGATATTCTCCCTTTATATTCATTAATTTACCTTTCTTTGCTACTTCAATCAGTTCCATTATTTGCGAAATTGGGCCGAATTGATGTTGTCTATTTAAGATATGTTGAGCATAGGCGGAGTCGTTTTTATTGAATCTTATACTTCTTATATGTTCATTATAGCGTGTTACCAATTTTCTGCCTGTTTGACCTATATACACTTGTTGGCACTCCTGGCAGGTCAATTTGTATATGCCGCTTTGTTCGTAAGAATTTATGCTTTGTTTGTGGTTTAGTATTTTACCTAATGTATGATTTACTTTAAAAGCTATTCTTACGTTCGTGTTTTTGAATAGTTTCGTAATTTTTCTTGTGTAGCTTCCATTATATGTATAGGATACCCATTTCTGTTCTCTTCTTTCAATGGGGACATTTGTTTTTTGTTGTTGAAGTTTATGATACATTCGTGTGATGAGTTCTTTATTGTGACCATTGTTTTCCGCGATGTTAATAATTATGTTTAATTCTTTATTTTTTGCTGCGTTATCCATAGGTATGATGGATAATCTATGTAGCCAAATTGGCTAGATTGTAGCAGCGTCCACGCAGCATATATACTGTGTACATTTAAACAA